GTTTAGTCGTAGTGGCTTTTGTCACCTTCACTAAGCACTTGTCACATTTCGGGAGAGCGGGGAAAGACTTCTTGCATATAAGTCTGCAGATAAGCGTGGAATCAAACACGCAAGGTCGCACCCACCGTTAGGATGATTTATCATTCAAAATTTGGCAAATGTTGGGAAGCTTTGCATTGTCAAAACAGCTTGAAGGTTGTTGTTTTGTTTTGTTTGAGTAGTGCAAAAAATGTTTGAAGAGGCGCTATAAATTGAAACATAAGTTTTTCTTTCTCTGAGTCTGCTGAGACACCAGAGTAAAACTTATAATGTCAAGATATCCCTCCAACCGCTCCCTGTCTCCAGGTACATCTGCTGTCCTGCCGAAAAGGACCTCTCATCGATGTCAGGACAATGTGCGCTCTTTTTGTCAAAATGACGCTTGTGTGCAGGACAGCATGACTAGAAATCACAGACATTTGCCCCACGAGGCCAAAGCCGGATTGATTGTCTCGTCTATTTCTTTGTTCCTTCTCTGACCACAGGCTGCTTTTCGACACATACCAGGCTATATCCTTCACTGAAGAATAATGGCAAGCTAAATGCACAGTACATTTGTTTGTGTTATCTGAACTCTGTGGTCAACCAAGTTCATCATGTTCAACCCTGTGAGGCTGATGGTAATGTTGGCGTCAGATCCAAGTATTGACTAAAAGATCTGACAAACGCTGCTGTTGTAAAGGCACTAACAGTTTGTTAGAATATGAACTGAGGGACATGACTGAGCATGTAATAACTCAGGAAACGGATAATATAGAGTTTCACATAACAGTTTAACTGATTACAAATATGTTTACCAACAAAGCAGAAAACAGACAGGCTTGTCCAAAAATGTATTGTACATTAGCTGTAGTACCCAGCTGCACCACCAGGTAGAGCCTCTGTTTTGTTTACAGTTCCTTGTTGGCAAGCAAAGAGCATAGTCATCATTTAGCTGGCAGTAATGCCACCATGACAAAGACTTCTGTGACAGTTAATGCTGCTCATATTGAAGACATGCAGAAGTCCACTAAGACAGCGCCTCTAAAGGCACATGCAGTAAGGCTACGTCAACGGAAAATATGTCTGTTCTTAAGAATGGCTATATCATCATATGGAACGTAGCAAAATTATAACTGCATTCATAGGCGTTAGTTACTCTCGGTTCACATTTTGAACATTTCTTGATCGTAACCTGGTAAATATGTGCACAAAAAAGTGCTTTATCTTTGAAGAAGAGCTTGCTTTCACTCAGGGGACTGTTGCAGATTTTGCAAAGGTAATTTTTGTTTTGTCAGTGAGACCTGAAAAGTGTATTCACATCACACTTGCTTTGATTCACTTTTACATTATAGAAACACAGTTCTATCATCTTTTCACCATGATTTGTTGACTCCATCTTTGTGGTTGCAGTAAAATCCCAGACCTTAGCTCATTTTGTCTCTTACATCCTCGAGGCACATGCAGTCAAGCAGCATTAATGGCAAATATTGTGTCGGTTACTAACAATGACTGTATCATCATATGCAATACTGTTTAGAGCGCTCACTTTGTGTTATCTATTAATCAGTTATTGAATAATGCTGCCGATTATTATTAAGACATTTGTTCCAAATTTGCATCCGTAGTGTATTAACGATTAAGGAAGGCATACCTGTTAGTAGTAGCATGGCTAAATACAACTACATTAATAGGAGTTAGTTATTCTAGATCAGTACGTACACATTTAGTACATTTCTTAATGGTATCTTGTTTATTTTGTGCACTAAGAACTGCTTTATATTTGAAAGAAAGCATACTTTAATCCGGGAGAATGAAGCAGTTATTGCATCAACCCAAAGGCGGCAGATTTGTGCATCGACGCTTTGCAAAGTCCAGTTGTTTCCCGTCTTTGTCAGTCACAGCTAGAAAATGTATCCACATCAGACCTGCCTTGCTTTGCTTTGGTATTATAAAATACTGCCTCAATTCTCTTTTCAATGTCATTTGTTGACTCCATCTTTCTGGTTGCAATAAATCCCTAGACTTGTGGTTTATTTTCTGACCACCGAGTCCCGCCTGCAGCAAAGTTAAAACTGTCCATTCTCATGAGATCTGCTTTCAGTGGGATCCAAATACCAATGCAGGATTCTAATATGCTTTTCAGTAATTGGTGGAAGCCGAAAAACAGCAAAAATTGATTAACCGTTGGGCTTAGTGTTTTAAAGTATTCCTCAACACAACTCTAAATAAAGGGTTGCTGTGTAAATGTTAGATATGTAAATATGCAACTGCTTCCTAACATGTTTTGTAACCCAACTTTGCCCCATGAATGCTTTAATTTAAAGAAAAACATCACAGCTTAGTAACCTGGCATGTTTACTTTAAGTGGCAACATACAGTGTTTTTGGTTTAACTTGTCACCATGAAGAAAATTTTGATTCCGCTGGAATAGCAATAAAATATCGACACTCTCAGTGTTTAGATTGGCTCCCTATAAGTATTGCTTTCGCTATGCTTTTCCGTCTGCTGCTGGGTAGGAAATCCCCTGGGAAAATGAACACTCGATTTACAATACAAAGAACAAGCAGAATATCTGTGGAAACTCTACCCAGCAAAAGAAAAGGATCTCTGTCGGAGGATGCAAAGAAAGCAAAGATAGAAATCGAGGTAAAACATGAGGGAACCTTGGTCAGGTAGTCGCTTGATGTAGAGAGCTTTGGGACACAAGAGGGTTCAAAATCAACATTCAGTTGGCTTTTTTTTCTACTAGATCAGCAAGCGAAAAAGCTTCCTACTTATTAATACGATCAGATGTTTTACTCTGCTTTTATCAGTTTCTATTTCTTATTGAGAGGTAGGATTATTTCTCGCTTCGGACAGCAACCAGAAAACAAACCTGGAGCTACTTTCTTCTGTCATTTTCTGTGTGGTGTTGATTGTTTGGTGTTGTTGGTAGTTATAAGCCTTGAAGAGGAGCGGAAAACACTCTGGTCTTTGTGAAACCAACAGTGATAGCACTTGGAAACACCAAGCTTCAATCTCTGGGGCTGAAAAATGAAGCCAGTGCAGAAATGCAGTTCCTTAAATGGCCACTTGAAGCTGGTTCCAAAAGCGAGTCAGTCCCCATCGACCTCCATGTTAAAACGTCCAACTTTACAGCAGAAATACATGTTTACAGCCCGATACAAAAAGCGATTTTGGTCTCTGTAGCTACTTTTGTCATTCATGACAACTGTATGCTGGGTCAATTTTAATTTAACACACCCATTTAAATTATATTACTCTTAAAATTATGCATAATTGTGGGTGTGGTTGCTTTGAATGACAGCTGGGCCGTAGGATAGGCCATGGTAAACACGAGCAGAGACATGTTGAAAAGTTGTTTCAATCTCCTCATTTACGTGTGCTTCAGTTAATTATTCTACATTTCCCATCGTACCTTTTATCAAGTCAACATAAAGTCGCAGCTTTCACAGTTGTGCATGTGTTTATGTAAATTTAATCAGATTGAATGTAACGCCACTGTGATTCGAAACGCAACATGTCCTGAAGCTATGTTTCATTCTAGTCTGTCACTAAAATCAGAAATTAGACTTGGGAATATTGGAAGCTCCCTTCCTCTGTGCCACTTACTTGTTGTGCTGTGAGACTCTGACCCTAAAACTTGTTTACTGCTGTTTTTAAAAATTAAATTTTGGTTCTCCTGAGACCTAGTAATGTCTCACTTCCAGCTTCCTTCGCTGCCTCCCTCCTTGGTTTGGCAGCGGCACCGTGGATGAAATAAGGCAACGCCTGCATGAACAACGGTGTCTGTACCCGCTGTTATCACAGTCAGTTTGTTAAATTAAAAACAGTTGAATGAATAAACTTTGCATTTTTCCGTCCTCTTCCTACTCAGTCCTCTGTCTCCCCAGACCTTACGTCAAAGGGAAATGTCTGTTTAAAAAGCACAGGCCAGCTGCATAAGCCCTGTTACCATAGGTACAGCAGAAATAAACAACAAAGCAGCACGAATACACGAGTTGATGGCACAGACAGCACACGGCATGTCCCCATTTCCTCACTTAGAGGAAGAATAGTTTGGGCAGCGATGACACTGAATTTGAAGCATCTGCCTGATGAAATGCCCCGAGTGTTTACTGAATATGCTTCGTGAAACACACCAAAGCCTCAGATAACAGACAGATCTCAGATGCTGTTTGATATGCTGTCTCGCATAAATCTAAACTTTTCCACATAATGCGTCGGTGCGCTCTGAGGTGTGTTCTCCAGCACTTGGAGTATCCTTTGAGAGCTCATTTGGGTGAATATTTTACAAATCCTAATCCTGTCTTACAATCTGTATCATAACTACAGGAGTTTCTCTTCACCTACAGTGAAACTTCTTTAAAGAAAACATTCAAATCAGTCTTTTTTTTTTTTCTTTTTTTGCAAATTACACATAAATGAGCAGCAGTGCTTTACAGCGACGCAAACAAATGTCTCACTTGTTTATCTCACTTTATTTCTTTTTTTTTGTCTCTGTCACCTCTTCGTTTTCAGTCTGATAATATTTTGCTAAGTTTGTGTCAGCACTGCTTTCTTTACTTTCTCTCTTCAGCATTCACACTCTGCTGTGCTTTGGCAGTTGCCGCCTCGCTTTCCCTTCCCATTCATTATTCAAAGAGCAGTTGCTTGGATGTCCACGGATCTGGATCCAAACTCCATCCTGAGATACCACATGCGGCACCGTAGGGCGACTAGTACCATTAGTAACTGTCTCCATCACGTCACGCTGCAACAACACTTCCCCGTACCACTGGCGGCGGCGCCGGCTGGTGTTCCTGACGAGATGAGTGCATCCCTGTGAAGTGAATGCGCCGGCTCATTGTCAGCATCAGCTGTGATGTGGGAAGGTCGGCAATTGTGGCGTTTTGACTTGTTATGAATATGTACTGACAACAGGCGGGCAGCGGAGGCAGTGTTTGATCTGGGATCTGCATGGATCTCCATTTGCTCAGCGTGAGGGCGACTGGCAGGCGGGCAGGCTGGAAGGAAGGAATGGAGGAGGAGAGCTCAGCTTGGACGTTAATGTTAAAGCGAGCTGTGAGGAGGCTGCTGACACCCGGAGTGGTGCCGTCTCACGCCTGGCTGACTGCATGATGAGGCCAGAATGAGTGGAGAAGGTAGAGTTAGTGGAAGTTTGTGTGACAGACGGAAAGTGAGAGATGCAGCGATACGTGGGTCAGGCCGCTGAAACATCAATCAAATTTTGTTTACTCAAAGACTCATTTAGTCTTCATACATTATATAAAATATATATGAAAAAAAAAAAGATCATGTACAAGTTGAGTCGTCATGCCAATCCTCCTATTAAGGAATCAACAAATTGCTGAAATAATCGTTTTTGATGATCGACTAATGAATTAATCAACTAATCACCTGATTGTTCAATATTTCTTATGCCAGAAGAAAATGAAAAATTGTCCATCATCTTCATTTCTCAGAGGCCCAAGAAAGCGTTTTGAAATTGCTGTATTTTACAGATAAGGCCTGGTTTAGAGCGACATTAACACTGTGTCAAAGATCCTCGTTCATTTCATTGAAGTTGCTGCTTTGACGTAGTGCTGATGCAGAGGAACAGACAGAGAAACGTTTCTCAGTTACACAGGAAAAAGATACATGAGTTGAAATGATGATAGTAATGAGGTCTTAAAAAGCTTATGTAATATGTTTTTATTGTTTATTTTAGTTTTCTTCATGTTTGTGTTTCTTTCTTTTTGATGAAACTGTATTTCTGCAAAAGTCTGTATAAATTCTTACCTTAAGCAAAAATTTTAATCTCGACATGATATTTATATAAAGACATAAACTATAAAACCACTGCAGCTGCACTGCTTTAAATCCTGACTTCATGAAGGTTGTAATACTCTGTTTTTCTTGCAATTGTCGCTCAGAGGTGTAGATTCAACTTTATGGTCACGATGAAAGCTTCTGTTGTTGAATGCATTGCATACTGCAGGTTTTTTTTCGTTTAAATCTGTTTCTTTATGTGAAACTATGACACACTGGTGGCTTGGTGAGGGATGAATTGACTCAACCAACAACTCTTTGTCACACCTGCAATTTTATATCAAATTAGGGCTGTTGTTAACAGCAGACACAGCATCTGCAGGTTATCGCGCTTGTGACTCATCTGATGAACTACACCTCTGCTGTTAGCTGTTCAGTGTCAGAAAGAGACAGACAAAACATTTTTCTTAATTCGTCTGGGGGAAAAAAAAAAAAAAACTAATGTGGACGAGCTGAGGATGGAAAAAGCCGAACATCCCACTGTTTCCAGGACTTCTTGTCAGTGAAGATAGTTTTAATGACTCTGGCTGTATGTGGGTTGCTGTCACGCTGCAGGATTTGTGAGCGATCAGGCGCCTCCCTGATGGTATTGTTTAATGAATAAGAATACACAGTACTGTATCTCACCATATATATTCAGTTTACTCTGTCAGTGACGGCTGTTTTTAAGTAAAACTTGTGCTTTCCTTTTACCCTCTGTCCAAAAACCGCTAACTCTTCTGTCCTCTCTTTTGTGTCATCTACCGATATAATTGACTCGTGCTGCGACACACTCCGTCATTGTTAGTGTCATCTGGCGACGTCAAGTTTACATTCTTGGCAGATTATTCTGCTGTTTACCTTGCAATGGTCAGGACAGGAGATTAAATCATTGTTGCCACAGAGTTGTAAAACCCTCACTGAGTTATTGACTGCTGTCAGGAGCTGTTTTGGACACTGAGGTCATGTCCTTGGTCTATTTTTTTTTCAGTTTTGTGGGTTTTAGCAGCCTGATTGGACTTTAAATTCAACGGTTATAGAGTTGTATTTTCATTTTTTAAGTATCAGCTGAATCTGGCTGCCTATTATCTAAAACACCGTTGTGATGCTAATGCTGTATGGTGGCCTGTTATTGACATTTATGCAGTTTGTTTTGTATTATTACATGTTATTTTCTGACAAAATGCCAGCAATTGTGTGCTTTATTAGTCACAGTAAGAAGTACAGCAAGTAAGACAGGGTTGAATGTTTACACTTTCAAAAATGAATAACAATGTATTTTCTGCATTGCTTTTGTTTTTCCCTGCAGGGCTAACTACGACCCCAGAACCAAGCTATGTTCAGAACCTTGAGTTTGGTTCCACCCCTCCTGTCAGACATTTCCCACCTTATCTCTTTCTCAGTGCAGTTTCAGTAAAGCTCATCAGGCTTAATGAGAAACTAATTTGCACCAAATCTCTGGCGAACAATCTGAGAGCCTATCACAGAGAAAGAAGTGTGTGATGAAACAGTAAAAAAAAACTCCAAAGAGACTGCTGCCTTTCATTTTTGTTTCATTTCATTCGAGAGTGTACACTTATGAATTACTGTAGGACAGTGCACATTATTTTTTATTTCTGCTAATATTTTCCCTCTTGAGTCTGCTTTTGAATATGAATCGTGGTGGATTCATGTTTCAGATGATTTGAGGGGAAAAAAAAGTATTTTATCTCAGCAGGAGACAAGAAACAAGATGAACTTGGCTAGAAATGAGCACAACGAATGCAATGCAATGCAATTTTTTCTCTTTTATTTTTTAACATTTGTTACGAACAGCCTTGGCAAGATCTTTCTTTTTTTTTTTTTTCCTCAGCTCTGTCTGCGGCAATGTTGATTTTATTTTCAAAAGCTACAGAAGACAGACATGTGGCCTGCAACATGAAGACATCTGTGCTGATGTACAATCATTTATACATCAGATCATCACATTGTAAAAGCTGGAAACTGCTTAGAAAAGGACTAAAAAGAAAACAACAGTGACTGTAACAACTAATAGCTGCAAATCCAGTGTAATCCAGCTTGTTTATTTGAACACATTTGTACCAACCCTGTATCGGCAGCTTGGGATTATGGCACTAACCTGACTTTTGCACAACCAATGGAGTGTTAAGAAATCAAAATGAGCACATTTCAAAGCAGCGCAGATAATCTGTCACTTGATGGATAGAGAACATATTGTCTCACAGCACTGATGCAATTATTCCATGCTCCTTTGAGCGTTCAGGAAAACTGCATCTGAGTTTTGCAAGTCTGTTGTTTGTCATTTGCACTGATCAAAAACTCTTATAACTCTGTGATGGTAATTTTGCTATGGAGCAATAAACTCCCTACATATTTTTGACACATTTCTTCCTGTGTTGTGTCTGACTGCATCTCAAACAGTTATTTGCCACAAAATGCCACCAACTTGCCATTTATACTGCTAATTTATACAGTTTGCCATTAGCCTGACTGTTCATAACAGAATATGCTTGAAATTAAAGACATGCAAAATGATCTAATATGAAAACAGGTAGGAGGCCTTGCTATTAAAAGAAGAGGGAGATTCTTATCATAAGAAGTCTAATTAAACTCAAGAACTTTGCACATCCCTCCCTTCCTTTTGAAGCTTAAGCATGTTACTGTTCTTTGAACTAACCTGGAGGATGGAAGGATTGAAACAAATAGGCTTCACAGATCTTCTTCCTCTGATAAGGTGCAAAACAATCCAAAAGTGCCATAAGAGCCCTATTTTTAGCTTTCCACAACAGGTGACCAGAGGGTTCTACTATGAAGCAAGTGTGACACAACCAGTGTTTCTTTACATAAGCCGGCTCAACAAAACCTTAAACCCCAGTCAAAGATGATGGATATCATTGCAGTGGTTCTCAGCTTTCTTTGTAACCAGGGTTTCTTCATAAGGCTCCCAGAAAAAGAGCGGTTTAAAGTGCCATTTGACTGTTTATTCACACAATGTAGACTAATTGTGGACCACCTACTTAAGTAAGGAAGAACAGGTTGTTATAATGGAGAGCTGTGAGAAATATAAAAATGTATTAGAGTAAAAAGCACTGTTCTTGCAAATGATGCAAGAGGAATGCTGGTAGGAAATTGTTAATGGTGTAAGTTAATATATTTATTTTAGCACTCTCAGTTCAGCTGCTCATTTCTAATACACAGCTGCACTTTAGACCTTTTATGCTTTTAACCTCATTCATTTAAACACGACACTCAAAGAAGTGCATTTAGGTCCGGCACTGTCTCATTATAAAAGAAATGTAGAAAGAACTTTGGCCAAATCAAGGAGGAATTAATGTTGTTAATTAAATATTCTTTGTGATTAACACACAGAGTTTTATTATCATCCTTTGCACATTTAAACTTGTTTACATTTCATATTGTGCAATCTTGCAGATCCTCAGGTGACTTTTTCTATTACTTCAATTTTAAAAAAATAATACTTTGAATTTGCTACAATTGTGGTTAGCTGACTCGCCAAAACTTGCCTTTTTAATCTGTTATCTGTCTTTACTTCTTTTTTACTTGTCAGTGTTAATTGTTATTCACTAAAACACAATGTCTAAGTCCTTGTACGTAAAACCTACTAACAAACTAATCAATTTTCTACCATATGCTGTGCGAGCTGCACTATCAGTAGTGTAGGAACAGACTTTGCAGAAAATCGTGACCAAGAATAAAAACAGATTTATCCATTTTCAGCATCATGCACTGAATGCCTGTAGTTTACTGTGGCAACCCGACGTCTAAAGTTTGCCTGCTTAAAACTGCATGACTTGGTTAAAAAAAAGCATTACTGATGTACAGCTCAACAGGTTTGCAGGTATAGGCTGATAGTCTATATTGCTCACAGATTATATCATCAGCAAAAGCCTTTTGTGAGAGGGTGGCACTTCTTAAAGCTAACTCAGGCCCTGTTTACATGTAGCAAAAATGGTGTTATTTCAATGTGTTTGGGCCTTTGGTTTACATGTAAACGAAGCCACCAAAAGCGATCATACCTGAAAACTCCAACCAAAGTGGAGATTTGGAAAAACTCTGTCTTGACGTTTTCATGTAGACAGGAGGAGACGGCGTTTAACATCACAGTATGCGACAAAAGCGTCATATGTGTGCGACCCATGTTTAGAGTTTGGTTACTGTGATAGAAATGGATGCTGGTAAAGCGATGCTTGTTTTTATATTTGTGCAAACGCTCCACTTTTCTATCGGTCCAAACAAACGACCCTCGTGCCATTATCGTTGAAGTAACAGGAGGTAATTTGTACCAATCATTGTTGTGTTTTTTCCAGAATTCTGATTGGCTAGC